GCGTTATATTATGTGACTTAGTATGAGGGCCTGTCAAAGGCTTTTCAAACAAATGGACTATAATGTGACTTTTTCTCGTCTTCTTTGTTTCCACACTTGTCTCGAGACAGGCACATCGGGACTACTTGAGCCGTTTTTATTCGGATCTTCAGGTACTACATCAAAATCTTGACCACCAACACTCATTGATATTTCACTCTTTGTTTCACAATAAATTTCTCTTTCTTATGTTTCGCAGTTGGATGTTTGGCTCGTCTTGTAACAACGCGTACTATACTGATACGTTCTTCATAGTCATTGCTCATGTAACCTGTGCAGCCACCATCAAATTTCTCACTGGCGAGCGCCTGAAGGCTCACCACCCCATGGATCAGTAGTGTCTTACTCGGACAGCAGGACCTCCAAAGCCAATGAGAGTCAGCTCTCGCGCATCGTTTATGTGGAGTGAGACTTAAACACTTCGTGGAACCCTCTAGAACGGAGAAACAAGTTTGCTGTCCACATTTTGGAGTACAAATGACTTCAGTAAACACATTTCAAGTGCAAAGATTCGACAAAATAGCAAGGTAATCACTATAGTGAAAAAAAGAGTGCCACAAAACGGATAAAAAGAAAATGTCAACCCTTAACCTGAACAAATCAAGTTAAGGCGGACGACGTATGCCTTTGATGCAGTGAATACACAAAACTAAAAAAACACATAATTGAATCAACTATTCGGTCTTAAAACGTGCGATAAATAGTTGTAACATTTATCTAAAACTGCAAATAACAATAAAGTGGGATATTGAGAAATTCCATAGACTACTTCAAATCAAGTCCTTAGAATCTTCTCTTCTCAACTACATTGAAGTCACATGATGAACATTGGACTTCACGCGGTTTATGCAGAATTTTGCCGCGAGATGGAGAGTTTTTGTCCGGAATGCTTGCGTTCCGGCTTTTCAGTACCTTTATTGAAAGTTAAGTCATCTGCTGGTTCAATAAATGGAATCTGCTCCTCAAACAAGTGTTCATACCCATTTTCAGTGTACTCTGATCTGCAGTTATCACGTAAGGTAAAGTTATTGGTTGACACTTGTTAGTTTGTAGAGGTGTAGATGACCGTGCATCAGAAGAATCTCAAACGGTCCGTGGTTTTCTTGATGAACTGTTTGGTATGGATGTCAAAAATGGAGACGATGGAAGTTCGTTCAAAGGTGTTGACTCCTCTCACCTGTATAGTGATTGTGTGCCTACAAGTTCATCTGGTAGTTTCGATTTGATTCAACAAGATGTTTGCGACAGTTCTCCGGTTGACAATCTCTTCCAAAACAATTATATGCTTCCAAGATACTTAGCAGATGACATGAAAAGAAGTAAGTGCATATGTTTGTTTTCACGGAGTAAATGTTGACAAGCTTGTTAAGTTTTTCGTAGTCATTCTTTCAAAGATTCTTAACGTATGTAAGCGCCTTATTATCTCAAATAGCAGGAGTTCTATGCGCCTTTGATGTTGTCTTAAGCTTTTCACAATTACTCAACAGATCAGACAAATAAACAGATTTTCAAAACGTTCACACAAAGTAGTTTTAAGCTTTTTGCTTATATACCAACGACAATTTACTCGGAAACTTTTTCTTAACTAGTGAGTAATGACAAGACGAAGTTAGTAAAGTTGTATTGTTCAAATAGTTAACTAGAGATTTCAACCCACTTGATTACTACTCTTTCGGTCATTTCACAGCCCTTAGTTCATTACTTAGATTAATTTAACGGCCATTGTCGTATCGTCACGCGCTAATAGAAATGTTGGTGAGACTATAATTTATAGGTGACCTTTGAGCGACGCTAGACTAACCTTGAGTGTCCGCTTACTTACTAGGGCTAAATAAGGGTTATAAAGCAGTTTGAAGAATAAGGATTATGATTTACAGTTGATGGTTAGGGTTAGGAATTAGATTTAGAGTTTTCATCACGAACTGACATCAGTTATAATGCCAAAACTCTATTTATCCAAATAAATGAGTGAATTTCACGCCAAAATCCAAGATCTGTTTTCGTGAATCTGATTGGTTCGTTCGTAAATTATAGTCTCGCCGAAAGATTTCACCTATCCAAGTGATATGATGATTTTCTGTATGCTTTCATACGATTTTGCCTGAACACCGATTACCACGACGTACAATGCTGACTAGTGTTGGGGATGGTTTGAAGAAAGTTAGGGGTGGCCAAATCAAAACGTGGCATCAGTCCTTGAATTCACTAACTTCTAGTCTTAGCCGTGTTGGTAGGTGCAGACTACTTGGTTAAGGTCCGCGTGACTATCGTAACCAATGGTTGGAGACTGGGTAAAATAACTCAGAATCGATCACAATGCCGTCGGTATATACACTCTCTGTCTTCCCCTGAACTATGAGATTAGAATTGCTTTATATCTTTCATTCTACGAACTAATTCTTTCTTCCCGTACTATATCCTTATATGCAATCTTTCTTTTATATATTACTACTATTGAAGTAACTACTATGAATTAGGTGTTCATCTTGTGCTAATGTGTTGTGGTAACTTGAACTGATGCATATATGTGCCTAGTCCTACATTGTAGCTGACTGAGTTCCTAATACATATTTCTCCCAGATCTTTACTTAACACTCATTGCAGTTGTGGCCATTAATACACTAATTAAAAGCTCTTTTCGATGTAAGGTGTCAACCAATAATGACTTGAAACAGCACTTACTAGGAAGTCCTTTTACTTAGAGATTTCCTGTAATTTATCCCCAGAATATATTAATAAATTATTATTGTTTGTTAAATAATTAGAATTCAAACCCACTGCCTTCCGTATTCATTTGTTTTCAAGGGATGCGCTTTGTTTTACCTGTGAAATGTGCATGATATAACTTAATTACTTCATTGTAATCACTCATAACCTTTTTATTTTATATCTTCCAGTTATAAGTGAAGATTTATCCTATTCAAAACGTCCACAGTTCCAAACTACGAGCAATCCCCACATGTCTGAAAAGTTCAATCGGAGTAGTGACAGCGGAATTTCAATCTCTTCGCGGTCTTCTAAACCATCTACTCTTAGCTACAGCGAACATGTCGCCCAGCGGATGTCAAACCAAAGTGATGCTATTTCAACCTCTAAATCAGTTTCTATATCTTCTTTCCCACTCGACAAAACAAAGAATATGGCCCATTTTGATCGGTTGGTTAAACTTCAAGAAGAACGAATGCAGCTCCACTAATGTGTATATTCATCCCACCCTCAAAGATGCTTCGAACTTCTTTTATTTAAACCTACAAATCAGTTTGTCGATACAAACCTTTATGTACAGGCTGTTTGACTTTTTTCCAAAGTCATCCAAATAAATTATGCCTCTCTTCGAGACTTTTCAGTATGCCTGGATTTCTCACGTACTTTACTTGTGGATCTTATTAGTGTTAAAAACCCTACATTTTTCTTTCAACAACCCGTTATCATTATCAGTACTTTGACATAGTCATCTGCCTTAGTCATTTGATGACTCATCAGCTGATGAGCGAAGTGTAAGAATAATATTTCAGAGGTCCATTTCCACAGCACTACGAATAAACGACCTATATACGATATAATCGTTTTCCTTCAATACACATCATTGTACTATGTTTAAGACAGTATATTTGAATAATGCTGTTCTATGGATCATCTTTCTGTTGACGGTTAGCGTTTTTGCATTTTTAAAGCATCGTTAAGTAGACCGAAACCTGACTGGTAGTATTTACGAACGATCGAAAAGTAATTTACGTGAGCAATGCAACTAGCATAAAGAATGATTAGTGTTCCACTGGTATGTGTGTGTATGAATTGAATGACGGATCATCTAATTTTATCCTTCTAAATGTATAGAGCTATGTTTCTTAAAAACATTTCCCATCAGGATAGTGAAAGTGTCAAAAGCCGCTTTTCTTGGTAATGTAGGCTTAGTGTTGTTGTGTATACCGTTCTATTATTTACAGGGAAGACTACATTCATTAGCAACGGGGAGTAGATGGATATCAAGATTGCTTCCTGGAATTTCCAACTAAGCAATTTTGTTCTTTCCAGTTATATTGAGTGCACTCTGAAAAAACTGGTCATCATAAACGTCCACAATCGTGTTCGTTTTTGATAGAATTATTAGATAAGAATATAATGAGGCTACTATTTTGGGAACTAGAAATATAAACTTGTTGCACAAGTACTCTTTACTAGTGCTTTTTCAGTTACCATGGTACTAATGATATTGGAATTAGCCTTAACAATATATATTTATGTATATGGTTTAGCTTTCAACCACTGAATTTGGGTCTCGATTGGTCTACCTATCACCAGTCATGATACAGCAAATATGACTACTAGCTTATACTACTGGAGGGGGTCCGAATTCCGGGTTCCAATCCCACTCTACCTTTTTCAGTTTGACCAGATGAGTAGTATCACTAGCTCTCACATTTAGTGTGGTTTATATCCAGGTACTTACTGAATGTGTTAATTAAACTATAAGTTGTTTGTAGAAAACTCTGAAGGCAGTCTCCAACATTTTAGAGTGGTGATAGTAACAAAATAATTCTGAAAAATAACCTTCCAAGTGTCTTTAGGTTTCATTTTTGGTGTTACAGTATTCCGAGTAATTACTATAGACTGGTATTTGTACATTAAAATCGATATTGTACAGTAAGGACATCTGTAATCAAATATCACTATTTGTATGTTTTCGTAAGTAAAAAACATGAAACCTTGTAAGGTAGTACATCGGGACCAAGTAAGTCTTCTAATTGATTTCCTAAAGTTGAGACATTAATCCTAACAGACCCTTACATTATCACTTGGTAGGTATACCTCTAAATCTCTATTATTTAGTAGTATTTTTTTGAAGGTATAAACCACATGATCTAAATCAAAACCAGTAGTGTCTGATCCCTGTTTGTTTGTATTATTTGTGACAACGATATCAGTTCTTTCGTAACTAAGAGTACTTTTTTTACAAAATAGTAGTTCAGTACTCACTGAAATGCAATCTATCGCGCAACGCATACATCGGTGTTGGAGAAAATATGAGATCTTCAAAGCTGGCGTGTACATAACAATTGGTGCAACGTTTACCCATTTTATTCTAAAATCGGAAGTTCCGAAAATTTCATTCTCACAGCCTGTAAATGCAGCTGAAATAATTTACCCTTCTCTTGTCGGCGCCCCAAACCTCCCAATAAACAATGAAGCTTTTCATACTTTGGGAATGCCATCATCAAGTCATCTTCGTGTTTTTGACGGCTATATATGTGTTTATGATCGTCGCAACAGAATTCCATATTGGGTAATGGAGCATTTAAACCCTGCTAAACTACATCAAGTTGATATTGATAAGGCTGGAGTAGATCGGTATGTTTTTATTTCATAAACACATAGAATGACATTTTAGACCAAGATTATCTTATTTAGTATATTTACTGGGACCTTTATCAGATTGCTTTGAGCCAACTTGTTTACCTAGATTTTAAGGAAGGAGCATAACACAATTTAGTTTAACGAACTTTCTTATCAACTCTTAACTAACTTCACATACTTTACTTAAAGACGTATGATATTGTAGTAAATAGCTTAAACCACAACACAATATAAAAAGGTATTTAAAGACGAATCGTAAGAGTTTTTGATATATATTGTGGTTGATAGACATCTCAAAGTCAGAATTACCAGCTTAGAAAGTTGATTAAGGTGCAAATTGAGCTGATTAGAAGAGTAGCCGATCAAGTTCAAGTAATCGTGAAAGGAAACAGACCAGAGTATTGAACTAAGCAATAATCCAAAGTCAATTAAAATAGAAAATAAATCCTAGTTAACGGTCAGATGTTACTGGGATTTAGACCAAATTCGTAGGATTACAATATGGAAATCACTAACGACCACCTACTGGATTGTTTTAGATTTAAATTTTACTCATTCATTCTCAGAATCATGTCGATCAAATATTTAAAGATTTTATTTTGTAAAGACGAAACCAGTTATTTAAAGGGCTCGTATAGCATATTCACAAAAGTCAATATTTGGACGAAAAATTGTCTTGAACAATCACATCTTAAGGCTCTCTAGTTACAAATTTGTATTACAATAGCCTATAAATTAGCACGTGGTGATATTACTATTACTTAGAATTAGAATAGACTGATCCCCTCAACTAGTAGATAAAGTTACATTTCCTGCTAATGAATTTCATGAGAAGGGTCATATTATTAACTGTAAGTAGACCATGAACTATTCACGTAATCAGAGGTTTATTGAAGAAGATGGCTAAAGAAAGCACCAAGATAAATGAAATTGAAAATTCTGAAAACAACCATTCAACAGGATGATCATTAGAATGAGCTGATTTAACACTTTTGGGACCGGTAACAAACTTACTCTTACATAAAGTAAGTACTCATGATGTCCAGAACAATGAAAGCTTCATAATTATACTGTTCAGCTCAGAAAATTCAACCCCACTAAAAGCTATGAGGTTCGCAAACCTTGAGCTTCTGTCATTTTATTAATCTGGCATACTTGTGAGGTTTCAACACTCAAGGTCGGATACTATTGAATATCATTTTCGTCACTTGGCAAAACCTTAATTGCTTATACTTGTTATTGTGATCCATATTACGGTAAAATAATTGAATTAATAAATTGCTTGAATGGCTGAACTGATGATTACCTTACCAAACCGACCCCTTGAACACTAACAGAATAGTTATTAGAAGTAAGAATCACTGACCAATAGATTATGTTTATGAGTTAAGACTGCTGTTTAGACACCAAACATATTAAACCAAGATAGTATGGCTTTTCGCTTAACAGATGGTTAATCGAGGATAAAATGTATTACAACGCGACGAATAACTATTAACTTTCCTGTCATATCATGTCTTTACGAACTCTTTCCAAAAGATCCTTTAATAGTATTATATTTCATAAAGAGGCATTTTCGGGTAAATTTTTCCAAAATACGAAAGGGCAATATGTCTTGAAACACATTTTAGGGATCTTGAATAATCAGTAATTTAAACTATCCCAACTGTCGCATTTTGTATTAAATAATAGCAAAATAGGTTAATACATACTTGATGTAGGAAGGACTATGCAACTTTTTACGAATCCAACGTTTCAAAGAGATACAGAAGTCCATCAGTTTGGATATCCGATAATACTCACTTTCTCGGAAGCCAGTAGATCAAAACAAGCTGACTAGAATTGTCTATATACTTTCTAAAATTCCCAAGTGTATACAAGTTCACTTGACATAACTATGGGAGAAAGTTATTGGGAGTTCAAATTACATAGTGCTTAATCTGAGCTTGATCTCATACTTTAAAGCTTTCAAAATGCTATTTTCAATGAAGCGTAAATCCAGTTCAAGTTTGAGAATTTCTCGTATTTTCGAGTTTGAGTAAAGAGATATCAAATGTCAGTTTAAGTCATTTTTAGCGTTTGAACATTATGTAAGTTTTTATCTACCAGCTTGAACAAAAAGTAAAAAGTCTAATTGTTTTTGTCAAATTAGTACCTCATCGGGAAACAAGGAAACTGCTTCAAAGCGAAACTCTTGACTAGACCAAAGTTAGCTCAATATATTATACACAAAATTTGGCGTCCATTAAAGACGATTATAAATGTTACAAAACTATTCAAGAAAGAAGAACACCTACCTATTTTCCTAGGTGATAACCTCCGTAAGAGGATAATAACGCTTACATTAAGAGAACTAACTCTGTTTCTTTAAACTGTTACATTTGTTTGAAAAATTAACAGTAAGGATTTCGATTTCTATGAAGATCTTGGTGAAATTGAAATGTTCCGTTCTACTAACAAGGATTATTTGAACTCTGGATATGATCGTGGTCATCTGGCCGCTGCAGGAAATCATCGCCTCAGCCATTCAGCTATGGGACAAACTTTTATATTGAGCAATATTGCACCTCAAGTAGGTATCGATATTGGAGCTTAGTTTCTTTTTTCGAGAATTATAAAAAAATATTAATCTATTAGCCATCTACACATTACAGAAAGAGTCTATGTCGCAAGCTAAACTTACGTGCTCCATGGAAAGTTCCCAAAAGCTTGTAGAGGTCGGCACCATGTCAAGCTCATATAGGTCATCCTAGCTTCTGGACAGATCAATTTATTCATTTTTGTCGAACTACATTCCGACCTTGTCAATTATTCGCTTGTTAACCCTGACTTTTTATACGATCGTATGTGTGTTAATTGCTCACCCTACTCATCACATGTCTATAACTTATTTTTATCTAAATATAAATATTGAGTCACGAGTTGGCCCACCTGTTTTCTGCGCTGCCCTCCACTTTGTTTCGCTCCGCTTCCTTCACTTCATTTCTCTAATTGTCTGTCTGGACCAATGAGTGTACGAAATATAAGTATTTGAGATTCATTCTCGTATTTGACGTATTCCGTTATTCTCTAACGCTAATTAGGTCGATAAAAATATACGACGTTTAGCGGCATGTATATTTTAATAGCATTCATCATAAGATCTAACTGAAGTCAGACAAAGGGCCATTAAAAGCTGTTTTTTTAAAAGCATAAATGAGAAATATACAAGACTTAAAAGTGAATAAGTAATTCTCTCAAAGATACAAGTAATCACGAAACGGTAATCATTTATCATCTTTAGGTGATTGTCAATCATTGATTTATTAATTTTATTGTTTACATACTTATTGAGAGGATTGATGATAAACGATCGTCTTCTGATACTCTTGGTATCGTTGAGTTTATTTTATGTTTCCAGTAGCATACGACCAAGCTTTCTAATAGATGATGTTTGTTCACGTGTGTATTGTTTCACCTTTAATCTAGGTTGGGTATGGTTTCAATCGGCATGGTTGGAATAGCCTAGAGAAGTATATACGTGCGGTTGCAAGAAAGTCACACAATATGGTTGTTATTACAGGACCATTGTTTCTACCCCAGTAAGTAATCTAATTACATTTTGATGTCTGATTACTCAGTTTGCTTTTGGTAATAAGAATAATAGATTGTTCATGTATATATATTGATCTTAATTAAAGCTGGAATGTGTCTAGGTGTATCAAGTAATTTAATTAACCCTGACAAAACTCATCGATTTTATTCAATCTCAGATTGTAGAATATTAATTATTTTTTGTGCTGACATCAACCGATCTTGAGATTGCTGAATACAAAAGAACAAGCTGTATACCATTTCGATTGAATCAATTCATAATTCAAGTCACCGAATAGTAGTTGTTTACGTTTAGGAATCTAAGGTTGCTTTGGCTTAATAATGTAAAAGTTCATAGATATTGACTTTTTATTGAATTTTAATGTCTGTAACTAAGCACAAGTTCATGTATTCGACATTGAGCCACACCTTTCATGTGGTAAGAAAAAATAATGCACCCTGACTGCTCAAACTGAAGTAGTTTCTGAAGGTGAGTCTAGTCATTCCATCAGTTAAATTAACTTTGAGTGCTATTAAAATGATAAAACTATACCATACTGGCAACCTTGAACAACTCCGAAAATAACTTAGTTATTGACCAATCAGAGTGTAGCTGATATAATTATGTACTTTATTACAAAAAAAAAGAAATTCATGCCGCTTACCTGATCAGTATGCCTACTAAGGCTCACAGTAATTTCAAGAGTCCTTATCTCGAACATTAATGGTTTGTCAATATAGCAGTTTTATTATACCCATCAATTCATCATTTCACATGTGCCATACTAAACATAATTTTCTATTTTGTCTGTGCAATGTATATCTCTAAACGTTTTGTTAATTAAAACTATTTTTCAATACTATTTCAGAAATGTAAATGGCAAGAAAATTGTGACTTATGAAGTAATTGGTAACAATAATATTGCAGTTCCAACTCATTTCTTTAAAGTGGCAGCTATTCAAAATAAACCAAATGGAGAATGGCATCAAGTAGCTTGGGTAATGCCCAATATTCGTTTACCTGAGCAAATTAAAGTGGATGGTTTTAGAGTTCCTGTTGAAAGTGTTGAAAGTGCTTCAGGCTGGAAATTTTTCCCTAAACTTAAATCTTAGCAAAACTATTGAAAGTTTGTACTTATATACTTCATATTTATACCTTTTTTAGTTGGTATTTATAATTTTCCTTTTCCTTAAGATATTTTATATGGAATTATATTTTCTTACTCAAATATCCTTTTATTTTTTTAATTGAAATAATCTGGGACATGAAGTTATTTTATTACTCAGGATTAATAATTGAGGTTTGTGACTGATTGGTCAAATCGACAGTAAGAAAGCCATACAATATGGCTATACTGAGAATCATTCATATATTCTATTCATTGAACAGAGATTTCCTTATACTCTTGTAAGCCAGAGTTGGTTATGAATCCAAATATTGTCCAAAAGATTTATAGGAAAGATTAAATTTTAATAATCGCTCTTTCGTGTACATATGTTGACAATACTCTTAAAAGCAAGGCAATAAATTGACGTATTAAGAAGTAACAAACCTATGAAGGAGAAATATCTTCGACCCCAGTAGTAGAAATCAAGAATTCTCTTGCGTGAAATTCCATAGGAATTGCAGTGGTTCAATTTTAAAAATGGTAAGTAACAAATAGACTATATAAACTGCTTTAAGAGATCTAGCTACCAAAAATGAAAGTATGTGAGTCTTATTCAAAGAAGAGATAACCCTATTCAAATTACCATAAGCATTAATACAAAGAAACGAAACAAATATTTGGTACAAACAAACAAGTTTAGTAATGTTAGTATATACTACTTAGATTTGTGTTAATCTAGAAAGGGTTGTCTGTTGTCTGGTAAAAAGATGTACATACATATATTTATGTTCATTTTTTGAAACAGTTTATTCTTTGACCTTGATAATGTATCATAAGACTGATAATTTGTTACGTTTGTGGTGTTATTTTTTGTTAGAAAACACCTTAAATGTTAAAACTTCGTATTTTGTAAGAAGCTGACAATTTACTAATACATAGACGTTCTGTCGACCATATTTGACATGATTAAGTAAATATGTAGAGTATTATAAACTTATTACATACAATTTGATCATAACTTCCATTTGCAGGACGAATTATAGCCCCTGGATTAATTTAACAAACTGTCTTTATGCTACTTACAAGTAGCGTAAATAGATTGGTTTAGTAATCAGTAAGACAATTTCAGGTCATTGATATGTTTCTTCTTCAATTGCGTAAATGCAAGTTTATATACCACTGGTAATAAGCTCCTTAAAATGCCTCTCCTAACAAACATTTCATTTGAAAATATAATGTATATAGAAATGGTGCTGATTTATCTAACATAGATGAAAGAGATTAGGTCTTCATCAAATATGTGCAGTTTCTTTATCTACTCTAATGTCAGTGTATTTAACACTCATTCAAGGGGTATTTTATCTTACAAAGATATAAACGGGTAATAAAATTCTAAGAACATTATATCGCCAAAGGGATTTATTTATGACTAATTATAATAACCAAATCATAATATTTACCGATAAAATGAGACCTCGAAATGGAAAGTTTAAGTTTTTCAACCATTATTGTTAAAGCTTATTTCCAAATGTATCCTACCTGATATGACGCAATATTTAAGTATCTACTTTGATTCTGTTAAAGTATTATCAAAGTAATTAATGTTCATGACCTACAAAACATATTTATAATGAAATGTGGTTTAAGTTTGTTTTTTCTAATGAGGTCTCTGTCAGTTGGATCAGAAGAATGTAATAAGATACTAGTTTTAGATGGACATACTATACAAATATAGAACCCTGAATTATGTAATTAAAATCGATTGAATGAAACGTTCACTTACACATAATACTTAGATATAACTGATTCTTGCAAACATACCCTTAGTTTCTAGATAAAACAATAGAAAATATGAAATAGAAGAAAACCTTTAAAAGTATTTTTTTCATTTCAAAGATTTTTGAAGTTCATGAGAATGTAGACTATTATTAGTTTTAAATTAACAAATGCTATCTCAATCCAATTAGTTCTACTTTGTATTTCATCAAAACAAAATGAAATTATGTATCTCTTAAATTTTTATGACTTTAAAATGTTTTTAACATTTATAATTTAACTAAATCATATCATTTATTGACGAATGTTTAAAAGTCAATGTTCGATAGAAAACAATAAAATGTTCAAAATTTTGATTTCATGATAAATACTTTTTCGTCAGTAAAGCTTATCTATAATCTTATAGATGCTAATACTTACTTATGACTGTTACTTCTCGTTGAGGAGTATAGGTCGCCCACCAGCACTCTTCATCCAACCCTGTCCTGTGCAATCCTTTCCAGCTCCTTCCAGTTGTTATTCATCCTTTTCATATCTGCTTCTATTTCCCGACGTAATTTTTTCTTTGGCCTTCCTCTTTTTCACTTCCCCTCAGGATTCCAAGTTAGGGCCTGTCTCGTGATGCAGTTTGACGATTTGCGTAATATATGTCCTATCCATTTCTCTCGTCTTTTCCTAATTTCCTATTCATCTGGAAGCTAGTTTGTTCTCTCCCACAGAAGGCTATTGCTGATGGTATCCGGCCAATGGATGTTGAGTATCTTGCGTAGACAACCATTTATAAGTACTTGTACCTTCTTGATGGTGGTTGTTGCTCTCCCAGTTTCAGATCCGTACAGTGGAACTGTCTTGACGTTCGTAATGAAGATTCTGACTTTGATATTGGTTGAAAGTTGTTTTGAGTTCCATATGTTCTTCAATTGTAGGAATGCGACCCTTGCTTTGCCAATTTTCGCCTTTACGTCTGCATCTGAACCTCATTGTTCATCGATCATATTACTACCCAATATTATAATCTTCACTCTGCTTACTGTTAAATTTAAGGTATTTAAAAGTGTTAAGGTGAGGGTGTCTATTTTCCATAACAATAATAGGAAAGTGTTATATAACCACCAAAGAATAGACTATTCTTTCATTATTATTATACTTAATCTGAAAGGAGGAAGAGCGGCTAGTTCAGATGGATTGGCTCCAGAGGTCTTTAAAGACGGTGGTCCAATTTAAGCGATTAGGTTGACTAATATTTTAGCTAAGATCTGGGAGTTTGACGTAATCCCGTCAGACTGGTCCCAATCACTGATTGTCCCAATATATAAGAAGGAGTCAAAATCATCAATGTGATAACCATAGAGGGATTAATTTGACTAACATAGCATCTAAAATACTAGCCTCAATAACTATCGGACTCTTAACTAAGACTCGTGAACTGCAAACACGGGAAAATCAGGCTGGCTTCAGACCTGGTCGTGGCTGCATTGACCACATATTCACCATTCGTCAGGTTCTAGAAAATAGGCATACTTATCGGCGTCCAATAATGGTGGTCTTTCTTGATATAAAAGCGGCATTTGATTCTGTAGACATCAAGATTCTGTTGCAGTGTCTGTCATTGAAAGGCGTACATCAGAAGTACATAAACCTTGTAAAGGCTCTTTACTCGAACACTACTAGTCGAGTCAGAGCTTATGGTGAACTGTCGTCTGGTTTGGCAACCTCAAGTGGTGTCCGTCAAGGCTGTCCACTTTCTCCATTTTTGTTTACCTTCATCATAGACCTACTGCTGATAATAGCGCTCTCATCGACTGAATTTCTGGGGATTGATCTCCTACCAGGAGGTCCACTTATCGACTTAGAAAACGCAGATGATATAGTCCTGTTTGGTGAGAACGCTAATAAAATTCAGAATCTATTGGTAGCACTAAGTAACAATGCCAGAATGTTTGAAATGTGCTTCTCTCCCCTTAAATGCAAGTTGTTGCTTCAGGACTGGTCTGCATCAACACCTGAAATAAGGATAGGGAGTGAAGTAGTCGAACGCGTTATCTCGGAAGTCTAATCAGCCCTAATGGGTTGGTGTCTGATGAAATCTCAGCACGGATTCAGAAAGCTCGTTTGGCTTTTGCTAGCTTGTGTCACCTATGGCGAACGCAAGATATCTGCCTATCAATTAACGGAGGTGTTCTGTTCTACTTTACGGCTGCGTAAAGGTGGCCGTTAAGAGTAAAAGATATTCGTGAGCTACTAGTAATTGATCACAGATGCCTTAGAAATATTGCTCGCATCTGCTGGGATCACCGAGTAAGTATTAGTGAGGTTCGACGCAGGGTATTAGGGAATGATGGTAAGTCAGTTGGTGAGGTAGTGAGTCTTCATCAACTGAGATGATTAGGTCATGTGTTACATATGCCTGAACACCGATTACCACCAGGTGCAATGCAGACTAGTGTTGTAGACGGTCGGAAGAAAGTTAGGAGAAACCAAACCAAAACGTGACATCAGTCCTTGAATTCACTAACTTCTAGTCTAAGTCATGTTGGTAGGTGCAGACTACTTGGTTGAGGTCCGCGTGACTATCGTAACCAATGGTTGGAGACTGGGTAAAATAACTCAGAATCGATCACAATGCCGTCGGTATATACACTCTCTGTCTTCCCCTGAACTATGAGATTAGAATTGCTTTATATCTTTCATTCTACGAACTAATTCTTTCTTCCTGTGCTACATCCTTATATACAATCTTTCTTTTATATATTACCACCATCGAATTAACTACTATGAATTAGGTGTTCATCTTGTTGTGCTAATGTGGTGTGGCAACTTGGACTGATGCATATATGTGCCTAGTCCTACATTGTAGCTGACTGACTGATTATTATAAAAGAACATCTTAGGAACTCATTTCTTCAACTTAATATATTCTCTTAAATTAAGTAATTTTAATATTAACTCATTATACAAATTCTTGATAAATTAATCAAGTTTACAATAAAACGTCAACTTGAAATTTAAAAATACCACATTTTGATTTAATATTCAGTAATAAATTTTCAATCAAGAGTAGTGGAATTTCAGAAGTGAAAAAAAATAATTACACATTTTGCAACTGGCATATTTCGAAAAAAATCTCCCCGATTTCCTCCAGATTAATGTTGTTATGTGTTCGGTTCATGAAAACATTTTTTCCCATTAAAATATCCCATCATGGATTAAAGTGAGTTAGAAAACTATTAAAACACAAAAGAGAAATATAAATTGCTACTTCGTTGTAGTACCAAAGTCTTCGGTAGTTTATTTCGTGAACTGTAAATGGAACCGAGCGTAGAATTTTCACATCCTGTAATGT